TAATCAAAGGGAAAGGGCTCAATAAAGGCCCCAACTTGATTTGTGCTTACTTCCAGTGCACTTGAAATGCCAGATGTGATTGTCCTTAGCAGTCAGGGGTCAAGTGTAGGCACTCTTCCTTTGCCTGCCTGTTGTCAGGAAGGCTGGCCAGTGCCTGGCCTGAGCTGATTTTGGAGCTGATTTTGATTCTTTTCCCAGCCCCCAAGATCATGCTCCATGTCAGGTTCTACTTTGGGTTGATACCTGGGCTTGTCTCCCACTAGCTTGGCTTCTTAAATACTTTTTGGGTTTGGACCCTTGTCTTGGGGGTTTTACCTGTACTGTCTGCCTCTATCCTGGTCCATCTTGGCATACTGAAATCATCTTCCCAAACTATAGACCTTGCTCCCTTTTAGGCATTTCTCTGCCTACAGGGTAAAATCCAGATCCTTGGAGCCTGTGAAGCCTTGGACCTACTCCAGCTTCACCTCCCTCTTCTTTGGGAATCTGACTAGCCAGGCTCCTGCTAGTCTCAGTGCTTTTCCTGGGCTGCTCCCATTCCTGTAGTAGTGCTTGACTCAGGAGCCTGCTTTAAAGTGGTGTTGCTACAGTAGGAGCTTCCCCTGGTCTCCTTCATATTACGCTGTTGCATGACTGCTCCCTGTCCACTGCCTTTTCTACATGTAGCCCTGCTTCTAATTCGCCTTTTCAGGCCTAGTATTTGTACACTGCTGGGTACACAGTAGGTACAGTGTTTGTGTTTGGAGACTAGTTGGACTTGCCTGCTCTGGGCAGGGCAACTGGGTACCTGCAGCAACAGCTGGAGTTGAGCTGGAGATTTTTGATTGGCCCAAACTGGTGCTGAGGTGATAACCCCTCCTGTTAGCCACCAGCTGTCACCAGGCACCCAGAAGGCAGTTCCTGGAACTGGAATGGTTTTATTCTCTCCCCTTTGGGAAAGGAGGTTGAGTGTGAGCTGTGCAGGAACTTTCCAGCAGTTGGACACTGGAGATCGGGGGGTTGAGATGGGGATTAGATGCTGATCTAGCACTGGGCTGCCTAGTCTCAGGAATCCCCTTTTGGTTGACATCTTCCTTTTATGGCTCAGGCCTGGTGATTATGCAGGCAAAGAATAATTTATTCAAAGTAATTCATGGTTGGCAGCGAAAGAGAAAGAGACCCCTAAATGCCTTTTTGTAAGATAAATTTAATTTTAGGTTATAAAGCCTTCCTGTGTGGTCACAGAAGGCAGTGTAGTTTTGAAGTTTGGGGCTTTGAGCACATTTTCTGAGCCACTGCAAGCTTCTTGGTGGGGAGCTCTAGAAGCACAAGGCTCTGCTTACTTAAGTTTAGCATCTTGAGTAAGGACAATGGTGTGAGGCTAGAGCAAGGGGATCCCCGACTCTGGTGTTCTGTCCCACCTATCTTCTTGGACAGATTTGGCCATGGAGGGGATGGTTCCCAAGCTTCACCCTTGCATGACTTCTTCATTCCTTTGTTTGTTGAGAATAGGCAATGGGCAGGGGGCTCTCTTTAGAAGGGGGTCAAGGTCTTATATTCTTCATTGGGTCCTTGAAGGCTGGTCCTGTGAATTTATTGTTCAGTGCTTTACCTTGTGCCAGGCGTTGTCTCAAGCATGTTGCAGTATACTATCTGCAGCCACACTGTTAGGAAGGAATGATTATTACCCCTACTTCACAGAGAAAGAGAGGCGGGGGGGGGGGGTTGCGGTTAAGCCCCTTGTTCAAAGAACTCAGGAGGGAAGGAGTTGAGTTAAAAGTTATAGCCCAGGCCACCTGGCTACAAAGGCCTTGCTCTGGCCAAGGGAAGAGGTAGCCTGCAGACTGAACCTGATCCATGGATGTATTTGTTCAGCCACATGGTGGTTTTATTAATTTATTTTTTATTGAGTTAGATGTGAGCATTGAGGGTCAGGAGGTACACATGAAAATCTTATTTCTAATCTCTTGGACAAGTCTGTAGCTCTGAGGGTTCTTGGGAGTCGTCACCTGGAGATAAGGTAACACACTAGGACCACCCAGTTGAGGGGAAGCTTATCCCCTGGGACCAGGCCTGTGAGGACATTTGTCATAACACCTGTCTTGCTGTGTCCACGACCAGGCAAGGGTCTGATGATACCATCACAGCAAGACACAGCCTGCATCTCCTTCACTCTTCTGTTCCCTCCTCCTCCTCCTCCTCCTCCTCCTCCTCCTTCTGCAAGCCTCCTGGCCTGTCCTTCCTTGGACTTTGAGACCCACCAAGAAGGGGCAAAATCTGAGTGTAGCAGCTGCCCCTCAGGGAGCTGGTCTCCTCTAAAATTCCCTGCCCCTATGCTTTTTTGAACCCTGTGGCTTAACATATACATATCTTTGGCATATATTTTGGATTGATTTTAGTGCCTTAAAAGTTCACAATACCAAGTCCTTAAGTATTTGTTGGGAGACCTGAGTGAGGTATCAGGCATATGTTAGGCTCCTGTGGGTATGATGTTTGTGATTCACTGAGAAGCTCAGAAATTCTGATTCCTGCTTCTAAGTGCTTGCCTTTTTTTTTTTTTTTTCAGTTTTACTGCCCCTGATTTGGGGAGAATAGAGGTGGTGCAATTCTTACCTAAAATATTTAATGAAGAAAGTTTTGTGAAGTTAATGGCTCTCTAAAAATAACCTAAAAGGGAGTGTTTGTGTAAGCATGGAGAAGTTTCTGTGAAAGTTTCTGTCGGGGTGAGGAGGCAGAGAAGAGTGTTCAGTTTTGCTCTGCATAGCTTAGGATTATTTTACTTGTTATAAGTTGCTTATATTTTTAAATTAAAATGTCTAAAAATTTTTAATATAATTATACTAGAAAGTTTTTAATAAAGAATTCATTAGAATACCACTGGAAGAAGACCCTAGTAAACATTGTGGACAGAGCATGCAGGAGTGCATACACGTGCCAAGATTGGGGAGGCATCTGGCTGGGGCGAAGCCTGTGAGGAAAATGGTGTTCACTAGCAAAGCCTCCTCCAGTGGTGTTATCCAGATGTTCCCCTGGTGGAGTGGGGCCATAGGGCCTGACAAAGTGTCTTCAAAGACTGAGGCCAGAGTCCTCAGTCACCTGGGACCCTTTTCAGAGACAGTGCCTGCCAGGATTTCAGCAGGAAGCATTTTAGAGGTCCCCAGAACTGGAAAGGAGTAGAGGCTACAGTCCAGGAGAAATATAGTGTGAGCTGCAGCCATGTGCCACTTACGTAACCGAAATGCTCCTCGTGAGCCACTTAACATAGGCCAAGAAGAAACAAATGAAATGTATTTTAATGACATATTTAGCCCAATTTATCCAAAACATTATTTCAATAAGTAATCGATATATAAAATTATTACATCTATTTCACACTTTTTTTTTAAACTCCAAGTCTTTGAAATCCCATATATACTTTCCACTTGTAGCATATCTCAAATCTCACAAGCCACATTGCAAGTGCTCAGTGGCCACGGGTGGCTGGAACTTTCTGAATCAGAAAAGGAGATGTTTCTGCAGCCATCGGCTGGACATAGGCTTTCATGGCTGTCCTGCCTCTTCTGCAACTCCCTGTGTCTTTGAATAGGTGGTCTTCTTCTCCTGGACAGTGCTGACAGTGAACATGCATCTGGAGGCTGAGGGGGGAAACGAGAAACCATAGCCAAAATGGTACCAATGGGGGTGTCTTCTGAGGGTGAGCTCACAAGGGGTCTTTATGTATTTATTTACTTATTTTTGCCTTGTCTATACTCAGAATTTTCTCTTGTGTGCATAAGTTTATAATTAAAATTATTTTATATACAGATATCCCAGTGTAAAGAAAGAAGGGGGCATACCCTCCCATACCCATTTTTGTGGCACTTACCAACTCTTAGGCCTTCAATGTCAACCACATTCTTTTTAATCTCCCAAGCTTCACCAGGGTAAGAAGTTATAAAATAAAAGGTGTTCATAGCAACCAGCTCGCCCACATCCCGCATTCCCCTTATTAAGGTATCATGCTAAGTGCCTTAACTTGTAATGAAAATATTGTGACTGGTAAGTAAAAATATTGTGACAAGTCAGAAAATTCGAGGTTGCTATAGAAACCTTTCCCATTTTTTGTCCCTGTAAGGTGGGCTTAGCTGAAGGTGCTGCTGCAGGCTGCTCTCTTTTTGTTGTTGTTTCATCTTGTTTTAGCTCATTTTTGGCCCTCTGTTTTAGCCATGGTGCAGATTTGGGCCTCAGTGGAAGGAATTGCCTTAGCATTTCAGGCAAGGCACCTCAGTTTACCCTTTCTTACCTCCAGGCTGCAAGAGAACTGTGATGAGAGCACACTGTGCATGGGGAGCAGGAGGGTGGTGAGGAGTTCTTCATTAGTGATAATTGGTTTTTGGTGAATGGCTCTGTGTCCTTTAGGAAGTCATTCAGGTACCACCGAGTAGACAAGCCCATTCTGGAAGAGTCTAGCCCAGTTTGTCCTTTCCCCAAACCTGTCACTGATTAAGCTTCATTCAGGGAGTGTTGGAAATAGAGTGTTTGACCCTGGATGCATGGGAAGCAGCCTCCCTCATTTTCCATCCTTCTGCGTGGCTTGGGGTATGCCATCCTGGGGGGTCTGCAAGTGGTCAATGAAGGATTCCCTGAGCAGTCAGAGCCTATAGGAACACAGGGACATGTTAGTTAAGGGAAAATCTTCTGGAGTTGTACAGGGTGAGAACTAGACCAAGGTGTTTGCTAGAAAAAAAGGAGTGGAGAAGGGGAGAAAAAACTTTGGGAAAAGTACCCCTTGCTTAATTCTGCATCCTGATGATAAAGGGATGTTACTCCATCCCAGGCTGGGGTTTTCTCTTCACAAGTTAAAAAGGGCAATGCAGGGTACCATGGTTTGTTCATTTTCAATGCCCTGAAGGAGCACAATGCCACCAGCCTGCTAAACCCAGGCAGAGGGACAGACCAGATCCTTTTCCTTCTCATGGGCTTTGTTATGGCGTCTGTCATTTTGGGGAGTGAATATAATGCTCTGCTCCTTCCTATTTCAGTGTCCCTGGATTCCAATAGCCCTCTGTACCTGCCTTACAAGACACTGGTCTCCACGGTTGGAAGCATGGTATTCAATGAGGGTGAGGCCCAGCAGCTCATTGAGATCCTGTCTGAGAAGACTGGCATCATTCAGGACACCTGGCATAAGGTGGGCCCATTCAGAGACCATTGTAGTGGGCTGGGACTGGTGGCCCCTCTCCACTGCCCTTTCAGGGACCACTGAGCTGTAGTGGTTGCCTGGTCCTAGACACCTCCATCACCGGGAGATATTCATCAACCATGCTTGCTTGCCAGGCTACAGAGAGAATTTTCCTAAAACATTCTTCACATCTTCCTGGCTGGACCTAGCCACTCCTGCCCATGCACAAGTCGCATGAATCACCCTGAAAATGCTTTGGCTTCTGCCACAGCCTGGCTACCAAAATGGGAAGCCTCTTAAGAGTCAAGAGGCCGACCTCTGCATTACAGGGAGTCTGGGGAATAGAACACACAAGGTAGGGCCTCACTGATCTGTGGCCAGAGCTCAGAGTGTGGGAAGGACGGTGTAGGAACACTGGGTGAGAGAACCTGATGGTGAGCCCTGAGGAGCTTCTCTGATGGACCTCATGCTATCAGGCAAATTCTGAGTCTTACCCTTTGGTGCCTCTGCCCCAGAAATGCTGTGTGCATGTGTTTCTTTCTTAGCCAAAGTCTGGAGTCAAGGTAACTTTTCTGGAGTATTTAGTGGCTAGAGGTTTTGGGGGTTCCCTGAGAGCTAGGCTGGGAGCTTCTTTCCTGACGCCAGTGGGAGTTAATTCCTTTCTGTCGCTGGGGGGTGTCATGCATCATGTATAATCTCAATGATACTGGGAGTTCCTTGCTCAGTGAATGTTGGGGGTCTACTGGGCATGAGTATTGAAGGAGTTCAGGGTAACCACACAAGAGACTCAGTTCAGGCCACTGTCTCCAGAGTACACCTCCCTCTGGCCCCCTGGGCTGCAACCAGTGGCCTCCAGACTGCACATACTGGCTCAGGGGGCTGGAAATATGGGGATCCTAAGTACTGCCCCAGGAATCCCTATTGCAGAGGCTGAGTGGCTGAGCAGGGCCACCTTTTCTCCCTATAGATGCCTGGAGTTAGTGTGGACTTGCTTGCCTTGAAGCTTTTGTTTCCACTTCATCAGACCCTTGGGCCTCCCTCTTAACTGATTGCTTGGGGGTATGATGGGGGGAGGGGACAAGCAAATTGTCTGTCAATCCCCTGTATTAACATTGGCTCCATGGCATTTCTAGGCCACTCAGAAGGGCGACCCTGTGGCAATTCTGAAACGCCAGCTGGAAGAGAAGGAAAAGCTGCTGGCCACTGAGCAGGAAGATGCAGCTGTTGCCAAGAGCAAACTGAGGGAACTCAATAAGGTACAGCCCAATCAGGGAGGCGAGCCCACTCAGGAAGCACACCTTCTAGTCCCTTGCCGGCCCCTCCGTGGGCCATGATTGTGCTTGATCATGATAACCAGGCCAGGATCAGCTCTGAGACAGGCAGCTTTCCTATCCAACTTGCATGCTAGGCATGGAGCTGTTATCAAGCCTGTGACTGATGGGGCTGGAGATTACATGCTGTCTTTGAAGAGTCCAGGGGTGAGGTTGGGTCGGGAGCAGAGTGGGTTCTTTCTTTATGGTTGCAGGAACATGCAAGTCAAGCAAAGATTGGGGACCTCAGTTTATCATGGAGATGAACCTGGTCAATCTCATGGTGACAGGGGAATATTCTAGAAAGGAGAGTGGACACAGTTGTTCTAAGGTTTTTTTCCTTGAAAATTGGGGCAGGGAGGCAAAAGGCACTGCTTTTCTCCTTTTTTTCTGATGTCAGTGTAATGATGGGCTAGTAAGCAGCTGGCTCCTTAGAACTAGCCCATGGAGGGTCAGGGAAGAGTTGTACTCTGAATGGTAATTGGTAATGGGTTTGCAGTGCTATGGGAGTGAACTGGGGGATCAGTCAAAATGGGTCAGGATTGAGGCGTAGGGGGCTGCTCTTCCCTCTGCCTAATTCATTGGGGTCTGTCCCTGGTTTGTCTGTTTTTGAGGGGTGAGTCCTGATGCTCTAGCCTTCATGGAGGAAATGCTTGGCAGGGCAAGGGGAGCCTTCTGCAGGGATGGTCTTGCCTGCTTTGAAAGCTATCTTTTCCCTGAAGAGACCTGCAGGCATGCTCTTGCCCTCTGCCCACCTACCTGCCAGTGGGGAGATGGCCTAGGTTGAGGAGGGTTCAACACCATCTTGGCTGCAGTTCTTCCTCTAGGCACTTCCATCTGCTCACTTGAGAAGAATTGGAAATGAAATAATTTTATTGTTCATTCAGGGGATGTACCTCTGAGCCAGACAAGAAAGTTCTTTGGGTGGGGGGACAGGCTGGAGAGCAGAAGAGCCTTTGGATGTTTACTCTTTGTGTTTTACCCAGAAGCAGAAACCAACCAAACAAACAGACAAGGCTCCCATGACCTTCCCTAGTGCCCAGTGACCTATCCATCCATGTTGTTTTCTTTCTTTTTTCCAAGATGTATCTACACATGATCTTTGCTTGAACCACCCTGGGTTATTGATCAGATGCAGGGCAGCTAGAGCCACTTGCCCTTGTTCACCAGTGTCAGTTATGCACATCTCCTCCTGACTCAACACACATCATGCTGGAGTTAAGCCTAGGCTGTGACAAAGAGTATTACACCACAGTATTTGGCCAGTCCTGCGAATCAGAACTTTCCTACCACTCAAGAACTAACTGACTAGCATTCCCACTGATTAAGAGTCCATTTTTCTGTATCCTTTTTCTAAACCAAGTTGAGAAATTTTATGAAAATTTAAGTGACAGGAATCGGGGGGTGTTTACATTGCCAGCTGGTTTTGCCTGGCTAGTGACCTGTAGCTGCCCCCTTTTTATTTAGAATGGGCTTTGTGGTGAGTCACATTTGTGGTGAATTGTGTCCCTCTTTCCTATTATGGGGTCACTGTCCACAAAGGACAGGGTGGCAGGTGTGAGGGAGGGAGTGCCCCTTGTTGTTGGCCCCCTTAGATGTGGCCCCTGTGCTTGCTGGCCATTCAGTACCCAAGATCTTCCTCAGAGGTAGCTGCATGACACAATTTCCAAACCACAGTCCAGACACCTTAATCAGGTCGAGACACGTATCCTGTCCACCCCTGTTGGGGAAGTAGAATTTTTCCCTTAGTAGGAGCTGCAGAGATACAGCCTATGATTTTTATTCCCCTTCTCACCTGCCAGCCTTGACTCTGGGGCAAAAGAAGTTTAACAGTATGTCCAACCACAGCTCTCTGTCTCCTGACCACATTCCGGTCTCTGCAGCCTGAGGAGGTCCTCTTGAGCTTCCAAATGCTTATCTGTCCCAAGAGGATGCCCTTTAGGCTCTGCCAGTGGCTCCTAATCTTCAGCCCCAAGTCTACACCCTGAGCTCCACGTCCCTCCCACCCCACTTCTGGCCTTCCTCCCCTTCCCTGTTGCTCACTTGTGCCCCACGTGTCCTACCTTTGCTTACCTCCTGACCCAAGAGGAGGTTGTTGTCACATATCTGTGTGTGGTAGACTTCAAGCCTTGGGAAGCAATCTCTCTGGCCACAGAGGCTGAGACCAGCTGTAGCTGAGAGAAAACCTTTGTTGGCATTTTATATCTTCCTCTAATTAAAAGTAGTTAAATGTTTGTAGATGCATTTGGCCACTTTTCTTCCCTGTACTCCTGGAGTAGCTCAGTGGTAGCTATAACCTTGGGTTCAAACCCCAATACTGCCAAAGAAAGAAAAAGAGAAAGAGAAGAAATCTGACCTCATCTCTGCTCTGCTGACCAGTCCTTCTTTCCAATTCTCCCAGGAGATGGCTGCAGAAAAGGCCAAGGCAGCGGCTGGTGAAGCCAAGGTGAAAAAACAACTGGTGGCCCGGGAACAGGAGATTGCAGCTGTGCAGGCTCGCATGCAGGCCAGCTACCGTGAGCATGTGAAGGAGGTGCAGCAGCTGCAGGGCAAGGTATGGAAGGGGACAGGCTTAGTGCAAGGTCTGCCCAGGGCTGAGGATGCCTGCAGGGGCCTGGGGCTATGGCATTTGGCTAAATGGTGCCAGGGAGCCCGTTATGTGTGCATTTTATGTTAATAATCAGAAAGGCATAAAATATATTTTAAAGAACACTTCCAAAAGAGCCTAGCCTCAGGTTGGAGGTAGAGCACTTGCCTAGCATGTGTGAAGCCCTAGGTTCAATTCTCAGCCCTGCGTATAAATAAATGAATAAAATAAAGGTCCATTAACATCTTAAAAATTAAAAAAAAAAAAAAAAAAGAGCCTAGCCTCAAGTGGCCAGCATTGTGTCCCAGTTCGTGGGGGCCCACCATGGACCAAGGTGTTAGCTTCCAAATGAACCTGGAATAATGTCAGCTCCACCTTCTCCAGATATTGTTGGGATGATTCTATAAAATAGTAGGCCTGATATTCCATAGCTCCAGGATGGCCCCAGCACATCTTTGCCGGGCTGCTGCCTGTCCAGGCTGGCCTTCCTTGTCAGAGCCTGAAGATTAATCTCCTGACACTTGCCCTTTGCTTGGTCCATGGCTGCCTCCCCATTGCACATCTCAGGAGGTGCTAGGGAGGTTAGAGGGTCAGAAATGACTCTTTCTCATTTCTGGTAGTTGTGGCTTATCACTATATACTTTATCTCAGAAGAGTCAACCCGTGTGACTTTGGAGGCAGACATGCATGGAGTGGTTCTGAGGCTCTTAGCTGAGTGCTCAACTGGAGTTCAGGCTGAGTTCTGAGAACAGTGAGGAGGAAGAAAGGGTGTGTTGCTTCAGGTTACACTTAGCTTTGAGCTCCTGACACTGGAGCTATGCCATTTTCAGTCCTCTTATTTTATAGCATTTTCCCAACCTCTATGTGGAGCAAGTGGAGCCTCTGGGGTTTTCTGTTGGTGAGCTGTGACCTCACTAACCCTACCCCAGAGATCTATTTTCTTGATATGGTCAACACTCTTATGACCTTGTTAATGACTTTTTAGATCCGAACTCTTCAGGAACAGCTGGAGAATGGCCCTAACACCCAGCTGGCCTGCCTGCAGCAGGAGAACTCTATCCTGAGAGATGCCTTGAACCAGGCCACAAGCCAGGTAGAGAGCAAGTAAGTTGAGCATCCTATGCAGATACCACTATGTCACATTCCAAGGGCTTTGGAATCCAGGTGACTCTGTAGGTCTCTTGCAAGGCCGTCACAGTGCACTCTAGTTCTTACTGAATGTGGGGTTGGCCTGGCTGCGGGTGTGTTTCTGCCCCCTCCCTGTGTTGGGCTGCATCCCAAGCTTCCATCTTTTGTGTGGGTTTTGAGCAGCTGAATCTTCTGGTAGGTGGCCTGGTACCTTTCAGGTGGTGAAGATTTCAGCAAGAGTCAGGGTGCTCTAACCTTAGGCTGGCCTTGCTAGCATGCATGGTATCAGTGGGATCATGCACCCTCAGCCCCTGGCTGCTGCCAGCTTCTTGCTTTCCTGGAAGAGTGAAACTTGCCCAGTGCCCATCTTCATAACATGCCCCATGGAGGGCTTCATAAAACTCCTGGTTGTGACCTAGAGTATCAAGGCCAAGCTGTTCGTCCAGGATGAAAGTTTGTTGGTTGTGTGGGGACCTCAGTTCTCCACTGGCAGTGCCCTCTTCCATTCTTACACCCTGGTAATGAATACTGTTGTATAGTACACAGGCCTGCCGAGTAAAATTCCTATTCTCTTGCCTCTGCTAAAATGTCACAGAGCCCACAGTGAGTTGGTCAGCTCTGGAGGGCAGCTCTTCACTTCTGCTGTTGAGTACAGCCATACTTTCTTCTCTTTCCCTGACTTGGGCCATCTCTTAAAAAACCCAGTGTGCTGTCTATCCATGTGCTTGTCTGCCTTCTTTTGGCTTGAAGTGCCCTGTAGGGACTTTAGACTTTATGGGGTTCTGTTATCCCCAGAGCATGTCCTCCTACCAAGAGAGGACTGGCTAAGGCAGAAAGCACTGGCACTCATCATGTAGCCAGGAGTCAGATGGGGAGAGTCTTAGTACAGGAGCTGGGCAGGGAAAGAAGTCTAGCCATGCCTTTTTGGTGGCTCCCCTAGAGTGAAGGGAGGCCTAACAGCTATTTTCCCATGCTGTCCTTCTATCAAGGTCACCTCCAGGTGTGTGTGCACATCTTCATTTCCTCCCTGACACATCAGTGTCTAGAGGTTTTTGACTGCCATTTCCTCAAAAGCCACAGCACAAGAGGAGCATGGGGCTCAAGAACACGCTGGCTTCCCTGACACAGAATCTGTTTGTGGCCTCCTTACTGGGAAAAGCTCTAAAGCATGGGGACTTGTCAATCTGGATGTGGTGACTGTGCCTCTTATCAGGCTGGAAGCCCCGCCTGGTGTTGGGTTTTTTCAGCTCCAAAGCAGTCCCAAGGGGCTGCTACCCAGCCTCCCACTTCCACCCCAGGTTGCTTGAGTCTTGGCATTATAAAGCACAGGAGCTGGTGCAAATGAGGAAACTCAAGTCAGAAAGGTGGGACCCCACCTGTCAGCAGAGCAAGACTGGCCTTGACCAGGTTTTGCTACCTGTCTGGTGGTGTCTTATTGTCAATTCATGCTTGCAAAGGAGCAGGCCTACAGCTGCCCTCCTTTCATCTTAATCAAGTTTCCTTCTATAACTCCAAATATTGCTCTCAGGTCCTGAGAACCACTTTGAAGTGCATGCAGTGTTGAAGGGTCTGCTTCATAAGTGCCTTGGGCTATGGCTGAGGATGGTTTCCCTGGCCTGGCCATGGTTGTGTAGGCCAGTGGAGTGGGACACATGGCTTCTGCAAGCTGCTGCCCTGCCCTGCAGGTAGCAAGGCATGTTTACCTCATCTGCAGCTCTTTTGTACCCAGGTCAGCAATGAGAAGAGTATCTGACCCTTTTTCTATGTGAATTTCCAGTAGTTTCTGAGCTCCTGTGGGAGGCTTTGGCACATAATTTGCCCTTTGCTCTCTCTGGTCCATATGCTATATTGGTAAAACAACATCTTTGACAAAACACACACCAAACTTCACATGGATGATAATGCAAAAGAGGCCTTGGTGATGGCTCCAAGATGTGAGCACCTACTTCAAAAAAGAGCAGATATACCAGAGAGGCATAGGCCACCTATCATCCGTTTCTCAGGGACCTGTGACTGTCTTGCAGGCAGAATGCAGAGTTGGCAAAGCTCCGGCAGGAGCTCAGCAAGGTCAGCAAGGAACTGATGGAGAAGTCAGAGGCCTCGAGGCAGGAGGAACAGCAGCGGAAGGCTCTGGAAGTGAAGGCAGCTGCCTTTGAGAAGCAGGTCCTACAGCTGCAGGTGAGTAGGGGTGCCTCAGTGCCCCCGTTCACTGCCCATTGAGCCTGTCTGCATTATGGGGATGGGCAGGGCTTGTAGCCACACTAAGTCATCCCTTTCTAGCCATGAGTAACAGATGGAGATGTAGGCAGTTCTTGATCCCTCAACCCTAGCTAGCCTCATTAATAAAAGTGATAGTATTAAATGGATGCTTTCTATGTGCTAAGCATTAAATGGATGCTTTCTATGTGCTAAGCTTTGTTTAGAGCATTTTATAAACATTGTAACTCTGTGAGGTACCTACTCTTAGTGTTTGCATTTTACCCATAAGCACATTTGAGGCACAAAGAAGTTAGCAATCATATTTAGGACACTGTAGAGGCAGGATTTGAACCCCCTGAGTCTAGCTCTAGATCTGTATTTATCCTCCCATATTTGCCACCATTGTGATCCTGCAGTTGTGGAGAAGCCAGTGAACTAACTGCTTCGAGGACAGGTGGGATTTTCTTCTTTCTTAGCCTTTGGATATAGCTAAAATCTGTTTTCCCCAGGAGTGTGCCCTTTCTCCTTCAAAGAGAAGAAGGTTTTTCCCTTAGTGCACTGGGCATCATCTAGCATGTTTTCCTCAGCCCGGGGGCTTTGCTGCCCACAGGTCTGATGATTTCCAGTGTTTCCACTGGCTTATGTCAGGGAAGGTTGACCAGGCTTGGGGCAGTTACCTTAGGCATGAGGAGCTTTGATAACATACTCATGTGGAGGTTAAATCACTGGAAAACAAGGAAATCCTGGTGACTCAAGGGGCTTTGGGTTGTTTTTTCTGCTGTATCATCGAAACCAAGCTATGGGACTAGAATAGCCAGATATGAAATTCTAAGACTGTTTGAATGGATACAAGATACTAAAAGAGAACATAACAAACACAGTTAGAATTTGGGTGGAATCAAGATGGATAACTTGGTATTTTCTGATTTTTGTATAAAGCAGACCACTGAGATCAGATTCTTGGAAGTGGGCCTGGCTGTGGTTATATTTTAAAGGCTCCCAGGTGGTTCTGATGCATCTGAGGAAGGACTTTTCACTATTGCAGCCTGGTTTTCTGTCACATGTCATTCCTAAGGGTGGAGGCCTGGCCCTGGCTCTTACCAGCAAATTACCACCTGCAGATGTCTGCTGCCCCTGTAGGTCTCTGGACTCTCATCCACAGCCTGGGCCTATACAGAGGAGTCCATTCTTTCTAGTTTAACACCACAAATTCTGTGGCATGTGGTCAGGGAGGTTGAGGGTTGTGGCATTGTCCCTCATGATATTGATAGTGAAGGCCCCTGGCCGCAGCTACTGGATTCAGATTTCAGCAAGTTATTTCAGAGCCTCAGTGTCGTCCTGTGGGGTAGTTGTGGGGATGTCCTGGTAGTTGTGCTGACATACTCAGAGCCTAGACCTAGAACTCTACCTTGAGCAGAAAACAAGTTCAATAAATGCCAGGGTCCATTCAGGAAATTTCTCTGACTAGAAGTGTTGTAGGTTGTAGAAAGGGCCTTTCCCTGTTGTGCTGAAGTGGAAATGGGGCTCTTTCCATTTTATCCTTCTCTCACCTGAAGCGTCTTCACTGAGATCCAGCTCTTCAAGGACCAGGATGGGTGTGGCCTCCTGTGCTTACCTTGGGAACAGAGCTTTAACATCAGGAAGCAGACCCCCATCTCCTCCCCTCCCCTTTAGTGGTTTGACGAGGCCTATGTGAAGGAGAGTGCAAAGGGTCCTTTGAAAGTGCTGGTGGCACTTGTCTTGGCTTCTTGTTCCAGTGAGTGAACTGAATTTTAGAAACTCAGGAGCATTTTATACCAATCCCCAACCGGCCATGGGACCAGCTTTTGAAATTGCTCAGTGTGATTGGCTGTGTTGACTACCTTCTCCTTCCAGGCAACTGTGATTCTAAGATGTATGTTCATGGGTTCCATTGAAGATTCTAAGTTTTTGGTTCCAAAGGTGGGTGGATTGTTTGCTTGTTGCTGGAACCATTATTCTTTTTTTTTTTTTTATTTTAATATTTATTTTTTAGGTGTAGATGGACACAACACAATGCCTTTATTTTTATGTGGTACCGAGGATCGAACGCGGGTCCTGCCCGTGCTAGGCGAGCACTCCACCACTGAGCCACAATCCCAGCCCTGGAATCATTATTCTAATGAATGGAAAAACATTCAGTCTCCCTACAGCCCTTTCTTAAGAAAAAGAAAGGAAGAAATTGCTAGTAGTTTTCTCCAGTGACAATCTGGAAAAACCATCTCAGTGACAGGAGCAGAGCTAAGGATGTTGCAGCCCTGAGAGGGAGGCAGGGCCCAAGAGAAAAAGCTGGTCTGCTTCCTGGGGAGCCTGTGGCAGTCATTCCTTCCTCCTCTTTCATCCCTTGGAGTTAGAATGAAACTGACCCCTTGCTATATGCCAATGCAGAAAACATTGTGGACCCTAAAGCTGTCCTGATTTTGTCTTGTCACCTACAGTCTGATGCAATGACTTGACAACGACTTTTCTGGCTCCAGATCTACCTCTGCCTTCATGGTTCTCTTCAGAGCATTTAGTCTAGCACCATGTTGTGTAGCCATTGGGCTAAAGAGAAAGAAATTGGGGTGTGGTGATAGAAGCATGACTTGGAGCCTCACTTGGGTCAATGAGAGGCATTTATTGTCAGATCCTTCCTGGCCCTGTCCAAAATGAGCTTATTAATTCTGTAGCCAGGGATCTGGTCCTTTGGAGAATTAGTTTCTTTGAAGATATGGTGATGTCAGAGGCTTTGATCGACATTCTTATCCCAGAAGCTCAGTTTTGGGAATCATTGACTAGAGTGTCCATTGGAGTATTGATTGGGACCACCAGAGGTTGAGAGCATCCTGCCTGCCACTGAATGGGGAAATTGGGAAACATTCGGCACCTCAAAGCTATGTGTGGTTTTTAAACAAGGACCCAATGATGTGGAAGTCTGTAAGATACCAGATTGAAAAATATGAAATTGTCATTTTTGTGGAGGAAAGATTGAATACTGGCAGTTTTATGTGATTCATTCTAATATTAAATGAAAGAACTAAGAGAACTGCCATATTAATGATCCTAAGCATGTGTCACATCCATGTGGGTATAAATGCATATTGCTATAGGCAGGAGACCCAGCCAACTGTCTGCTTCTGGAGAAGGCATCAGGATTCCACTGGGAAACTCCTTATATACTTTGTTTGAATCAGTATCTTTGGACTTTTGCTACAAGCAAGTATTTACAAATCACTTGAATATAAAAAATATTGAAACTCACCTCACAACCCCCACCCCCCAAGTGGGAAATGCATGTAGGTCCCTGGCAGCTGCTTTTCTCACTGAAAGGATGCTGGGTGAAATTTGGGCAAATTCTAGGAAGTTTTTACGTTATACACAAATCAGAGACCATATGGGGCTTTGGTAAGGGCAGGAGGTAAAGAGTTTTGTTTTCTTCAACCTGGGAACTGATGAGGGCCCAGCCTCCTCCCGCCCTCACAGCCGTCTTTTCTCTGTCCTCTCCAGGTGTCTCACAAGGAGAGTGAGGAAGCTCTGCAGAAGCGCCTAGATGAGGTCAGCCGGGAGCTGTGCCGCACACAGACCAGCCATGCCAGCCTCCGGGCAGATGCCGAAAAGGCACAGGAGCAGCAGCAGCGGTTGGCAGGTAAGGGCAGTGTTCTGATGGCCCTTGCTCCTGGTGGGTCCCAAAGAAGTCTTCCGACTGTCCTATTGCCAAGGCCAGGCCTGTACCTACCCCCACACCCCAAAAGTTGAAGAGGCAGGGATGTCAGGACTGGCTGGAGTCACAGAGTCAGATTAAGAGCAGACTGTCCACTGGGTTTGGGGAGTAGGGCCTGCAAGGGCTGGATATAGAGGATGGTGCCTATGTGGGCTACTAGTGGGGTTGGGGTCTGGGGACAGAGGCAGGGCCTGCAAAGGTTGGTTACCCAGCAGGTGAGGCTGGTGAGAAGTTGACCCTCATTCACTAGTATTTCCTGAGCCACTGCCATGGGCACTGGGCTGGCAGGAATAGTGCCACCTGCAAGGACAGGGTTATGCAGCAGTGCCCTTTACACAAGGACTTAATCTGTGAAGGGACAGATGGTAAATACATTTGGCTTCCTGAGTCAAACAGTCTCCATTACAACTACTCAGCTCTGCAGCTGTGGACAAAAGTGTCCATAAACAATGTGCAAACAAGCAGCCTTGGCTATTCCCCCACACCCACTAGAGATGAAAACTATGGCATTTACCACTGAGCTACCCAGCCCTCCTATCCTTCCTCCCTCCCTCCCTTTCTCCCTTCTTTCATTTATTTATTTATTTTGAGACAGGGTCTCACTAAGGTGTCTAGGCTAGCTTCAAACTTAAGATCTTCCTGTTTCACTTCCTGAGTAACTCAGATTACAGATGTAAGCAACACTACACCTGGAAGGCTTGTCTTTTTGAATAAAACTTTGTTTATAAAATAGACACGGGGAGAGGAGCCTATAAGCCAGCTCACTGATCACTGGTCTAGAAGGCCTGGTGTGGCTTTAAACACAGGAGGCCTTTCTGAGGCAGGAGGGGTGTTTAAACCTAGATCAAAATGATGGAAGGGGTCAGTCCCATGAAGAGTAATTTAGTTAGCATAGACCCCTGAGAGGGGAATGAACTTGAACTTGGCCTTGGGGCTTCTTATTAGCTACAAAGCCACAAAGCAGGGTCCTGTGAAAAGTGTTAACAGGAAGGTCGGGGCAGGGGAATGGTACAATTTCATTTGCACTTCTGGGGTGGAGAATGGACCATGGGGGCAGGAGAGGCCCAGGGAGAATGGGCAGGCTTCTGTAATTGTCCAGAATGGTGACAGGGCTTGGCCTAGGTGATTACAGAGGTGCTGCTACTGATGGGGACAGATTTGGCATGTGGTGACTGTGGAGTCCCCTTGCTTTAGTAGTGGGAGAGAGGTAGAAAAGGGAAAACAGAGCAACCAGGATGAGACCTGGGAGGCCAGGAGGCGTGGTTTGAGTTGCTAAATTAGATTTTGTTTGGAAGTGGCAGGTGGCAGAGCCTGGGGTTGGGGATGAGGTCAGTCCTGGTGGAGACAGCAGTGTCACAGGCAGGTGGACTATACTCAGCCATGGGACTTTAAGATCACCTGAAGAAGAGGACAGCTCCTGAGTAAGGCCCCAGGATAGGCTCTGGGGAGTGTATAGCCCGAGATCCATATATAGTAACTTTCAAAATAGTTTCTGGCCATGTCACTCCTATCCGTGGTCTCAGCTAATATGAGCCAGAGTGTTCTAGAGAATGAATCTTCAGAAACTTCAACCAAAATCCATTTTAAATCTCTATCATTTTCTTATTAGTGGCCTTTGGGCATTTCATCTTGCCCTAATAGTCCTCAAGAACACTACCACTAGGCTGTGATTTTGTTCAGCGGTGATTTAAGAAGCCCCAGTGGTTAGAAAGTGTGTCTTAAGATCCCCAGGCACAGAGGAGGCTGGGGAGGGACAGCAGTCCTGGTATTCATCCCAGGCATTTCCAGCCCCTGACTTCTCTTTCCTTTTCCTTTTCCTGCAATAGAGATGCACAGCAAATTACAGTCCTCTGAGATGGAGGTGAAGAGCAAGTGTGAAGAGCTGAGTGGTCTTCATGGGCAGCTCAAGGAGGCCAGGGCAGAGAATACACAGCTCACAGAAAGGATTCGGTCCATTGAGGCCCTGTTGGAGGCAGGCCAAGCCCGGGATAACCAGGTCAGCCCACTCCTGGGAGGATACTGCTGAGGAAAGGGGCTCCCCTCCTGACTAGTTGCTGTACAAGTGAGCCTAGTGGAGATCAAGGAATTTTCTGTGTCTCGTTCCAGGCCAGCCAAGCTGAAGCCGACCAGCAGCAGATGCGGTAAGCTGGCAGGGCGGCTGTAGGGGGACCATAGGGCTCTTGTCCACTCACTTCAGCCTTAGCTGAGGTGACTGAAGGCTCCTGGAAGCTCAGGCTTTCGTTATGGCACTTGAGGCCCCCTTCTACTTCAGAGGCCCCCTTCTACTCCTGTCATTCTAGTGGTTTAGAGAACAGGAGACAGGTCTGGGCAGGCAAACGGTCACCTTTGCAAAGAGCTATGTATGTATTCTCTGTTGCTATAACAAAATACCTTAGGCTGGGTACTTTATAAAGAATAGATGTATTAGCTCATGGTTTTGCAGGCAGAAAATCCAAGATTGGGCAGCTCCTTGTGTTTGACCTCTGGTGAGGGCTGATAGGAGAGCATGAAAGAAGAAGCATGCACATGGTGAGCCAGGAAGCCAGAAATAGGGGCAGGGCCAGTCTTATTTTTTTAATAGCAACTCACTGTCAGGAACCAACTCACTCAGTGAAACCAGCATCAGCCCCTTCTTAAGGCAGCACTCCCAGTGACCTAGCTGTCTCCCACTAGGCTCCACCTCTTAAAGGTCCCAGCACCTCTTAATTACTCCCATCAGGGAATAAGCTTCCAAGACATGAACCCGGGGTGTGTGTGTGGCGGGGGAACGGGACAAACCACATCCAAACCATAGCAAGCTCTGTGCCCACTCTCAAGGAGCAACACCTATCTGTGTGAAGAGTGGCAAGTGCTTCAGTGGGTTGGGGGCAGACTTCTTGCCAGCTGTATCCATCCATGTTCTCCTTCTGTTGATAGATGTTTTCAAGTCCTACTGAGCCAGACTCACAGGGTAAATTGTGACCATTTTGTAAGATAAACTTTAAAAGGGAAAAACAGGAATTAGTATGTCATCTAATGACTATATGCCAGGTAGTGGGCTGGGAGCTTGATGAGCTGTTTTTAAGAATTTTATAGAAGAAGAAAAACAGTTGAATACTGAAATATATATGTATTTTTAAGTTGACCACTCTGAAATGGTCTCAAGTTTATGTGTGCCTGCATGTGTCTATCAATGGATCCAAATCTAAGAGGAATGAATCCAGAATCAAGGCAAAAACAAGGAACTACGGACACTTAAAGATGGGGTGTTTTTAGCAGAATAACAATGAATATTATATCCTCATCAAGTGAATTCCTCAATGATAAGGTTTTTGTTTTATTGATTTTTTTATGTCTAATCAGAGTGTCTTTATGGAATGAATAATGAATAAATAAGAACCGGTAAAGAAATAAACTGATATCGAATGACAGAAAAATGGTTGGATACCTAGATGGATGAACTGATGTTCATCCATCTCCTGTGGGGGAAGACTGGCTGATTAAAAGGCAAGAGATTTTAGGGACTGAGGTCTATAAATCAAATGGGGAAATGGTTGCGGTCCAGGCTGTCTGCTGGACCAGAGGTTTGGGATGTTGGAGGAATGTAGAGCTGACCTTGCCACGGGGCTGTTTTCCTTTGTTTATGATGACTTCATTGCTGGCCAGATCTCATTTTCCCTCAGTCAGCAGCCCCAGTCCTGGACTTTTTTGCTCAGGGACTGCTTGCTGTTGCTAAGGCCAGAGCTGACACCTGGGTGGAGTGACTGAAATCAGGGAACAGAGTCCTTGTGACCATCAACTCTGGGACAGGTGTTCACAGTCTTGAGAGGTGGGTCCTGGCTGCCATGGCCAGGGTTCCCTTGAGCATTGGGTGGGATGAGCCATGGAGTATGTCTTTTCTCTCTGCTCAAACACTTCTGGACACATTCTAGGATATCAGCCAATAAGATCCCTTTATTCTGGCCATTGTTGCCAAAGAGTCGCCTACTACTATGCTTCTCAGCAGGTACAGCTTCCTAGGCATATAGCCTGTGTTCCTCAGCATCCCTAGGGCTCTCTGGTTTGGGGACTGGAGAAAGAACCCAGCCGCCTTCTTGTGGAAGACCCAGAACCCAACCCTTCCCTTCTTCCTTTCCTAGGAAGCATGGGTAAACTTTATTTCTCAGAGTGGTTATTTTTTTAGGGGCAGAGAAGCTCAATTTTTTTTTCTTTAAGCTCAGATTCTTGAGCCACTCAATGAACTACTAGGATAATTAAGTCACATGGCAGTTATTTTTTAATTTCAAATTTTTGCAAAGTGCAGAAATGATCTGGTAGAAGCTGGTTCCTTTTCTTCTCACATAGTTTACCTGCAAGTTGTTTATGCTGGGCCATCCTGTTCTGGGATAGAGAGAAGTGATTCAGTCCCAAACTTTGTTTCTACAACTTGACAGAAGCTGCTAAGGGGATGAGGGTCAGTGTGTCCTTACCACTGACCTGCAGACTCTTCTTCAGGATCTTGTTCTTCTGGGGTCTCTCCAGAGGTGGTCTGCTGGAGGATGCTGTAGTGTAATACAGGGATTAGAGGGATAGTCTGAGGGGTTTCAGTAGAATTTTGGCTGGGGGGGGGCAGGTACCAGGGATTGAACTCAGGGGGACTTGGCCACTGAGCCACATCCTCAGCCCTATTTTGTATTGTATTTAGAGACAGGTGCCACTGAGTTGCTTAGCACTTCACTTTTGCTGAGGCTGCCTGTGAACTTGCAATCCTCCTGCCTCAACCTCTCGAGCTGCTGGGATTACAGGCATGCACTGCCACGCCCAGCCTTTCAGTAGAACTTGGAGGGTGGGGGTCACAGTTCTGTGGGCCTAAACTCAATGCCCAGAAGTCAGCAAAGCTCTCAAGGCCGTATGCAAACTGTATGCAGGTTAAAAATATAAGGCTGTGATAAGCCAGACTTCATTATCAGATAGGTGGTCAGGACAGCCAGCATGCTCAGCCCACACGTGCTTTATGGTCAGCATTAGTGTGTGTTAGAATGGTTGTTTTCAAAGGTCTTTGACCATGACCTTCAAGAAGAAACACAAATACGTTTGTCCCCATGTGGCCGGCAGTGTCCACCACAGCCCTCCTTCCTCAGGCTGCTGGGGTGGTAGCTCCTTTGGGGGACTTCCTCCTGCATCTCAGGAAGTGGCTTGAATTGCTGATTCAGACCACTGTTGACCACTTCTAGACTTTAGATTTCTCATGTCCCTGGGTCTCCATCTGTTGCATATCATAATGTGGAAAGGGGCTTGTTAAAAGTGTACATTCAGAACTGGTCCCGAGAGCCTTGAGTACAGTGCTGTAGTGATGGTGACCTCTCATTTCTGGTTGAAGGGCACAAGGAAGTGAGGCACTGACACTCAAGGATTCCACAATGCTGGGGAGTCATCTCAAGGCTCATTTCCTCAAATCCCAGGATGTAGAAATGAATGGTCCTCCATTGGTCCTTGGTTCTCGGTCAGGGTTTGGGGAGCTTTCAAGAGCAGTGGTGCCCAGGTGTGAGGTGACAGCACTACTGTGAGTTTCCAGCTCACACCTTAGAAGGCCCAGCCTAGTTCTGAGAGTCAGGTGCAGCCATGTGGAAGGGCCAGCTGGCATGTTCTGTGGTGACAAGATGGGTCATACCAAACTCAGTTCAAGAGAGTAGATGTCCTGGAAACCTAACTGCTGGGGCATATCCTCTGCTGGCCATTGGCTGCTCTGGAGCCAGTGCCCTGGCCTCTGAGTGGTCGGCATGAGGCAAGGTAGAAGGGTGTGTGCCTCGCAGGTGTTCCTTGGGTAGAGGGGGGTGTTAGGCTGGCTGGGTGCCCTGGGTAGAAGAAAGGGGTCCTCCTGAGATGGAACTGGAGGGTAGGCACGGACCCTTGGAGCTGAGGTGGTGACCTGCTGTGGTAACCATTTTCTCTCCCCCCACCCCACCAGTCTCAAGGAGCTAGAATCACAAGTATCATGTCTGGAGAAGGAGGCCACTGAGCTCAAGGAGGCTGTGGAGCAGCAGAAAGGGAAGAACAATGTGAGTGTGGAAGGCCTCTGAGCTGGGGTGGGAGGACCAAGGCAGAGCCGTGTGGACGCCGGAAAGGTTTTCACAGAGTCACCTTAAGGCGTCTCTGTAGAACCTGCCCTAGACAATCAGGGAGCCCAGCTTTGCTTCTCCCTCAGTTCTCACTGTTGTTTACTCTGGGAGTTTCCTCTTCCTGCCTCCTCATCCCCAGCTCCTCCATATGTTCAGGGTTGACTGCCCTTGGGGCATTACCCAAACATGGACAGTGGTGTGACCCATGTACTGATTGACCTGGTCTGGGTCATGTAGCCACCCTGAGCAGATGTGGGTGAGGGAGGCTGGTGCTAGGAGAAGGGGAGAGAGACATGCCTGCCCTCTCCAGAGGGCAAGGGCCTTCACCCACATCCTTCCCACCTGCCCTTGTCACGGAGCAGGGCTTGCTGGTTGCCCTGCTGCTCCCAAAGGAGGTCTCACTCCTAGAGCCAGCCGAGGGAGTCAGCTTGCTGTTTGGTGGCAGGAACCTGCTCTCTGAGGAAATAGATGGGTCCTTCCTCCTCCTGCAGTCTAGTCTCCACTGAAAGGGCGCCTGCCTCTTCATCCTCTGTGTTCGACTATTCCGGCATCAGGTGGCAGCACCTTGGCCTTGTGCTGAGTGCCCCCAGGAGAGGCCACATGAATGTGGGCCAAGAAAAGAGTGGGTCCTATACAGGGTCTGAAGTGGGGCCATGGGGTTCTCTGAGCCCAGCCCTTGCTGAGACCAGTCCACAGGAGCTGGTCATTGACTGACGGGTGTGGGCTACTGACTTCCCCTCATCTCCCCTCCCAGGACCTCCGAGAGAAGAACTGGAAGGCAATGGAGGCACTGGCCTCGGCTGAGCGGGCCTGTGAGGAGAAACTGCGTTCCCTGACCCAGGCCAAGGTCAGAGCCCTGGCCATCCTTAGGCTGGCCAGCTGGGATAGCAGCACCTGCCTGGTTTAACTGAGTCCACAAGATATGGAAACTGTGTAGGGGACAGCCTTGGCCTCAGTGTCTCATAAATCTGTACCAGGGCCCCCAGGCTCAGCATGCAGTGTCCTCTAGTTTCTTCATTCTTTCCTTCCTCTCCCTTATTCCTTCCTGCCCCCCTTTCATTTTTCTTTAAGAGAAAGGAGGGAAATGTGCACCCTCAATTGTTTTTCCTCAACTGGGCACTCTGTTATGAGGGTACAGAGCTGAGCATGGCCACAGCAAAGACTGAGCGGGCTTGGGGAGCACTGTGGGCTGCACACTCTGCGAGTGCGCCCAGGGTTGCACCGGCTTCATGGCCTTCAATCATATTATTTTTATCCAGAGGTACTTGGAATAATCCTGCTTCTTTCTCAGGCCCTCTGAAGTCACCATTCAGTTGGTTCCATGTGTGTTCTTAGGGGAGGACATCTTTAGCAGTGAGCTTTCAGGGTGTGGTATCCAACTCTCTGTGCCTGGGGCCCCCATTTGCCCTGGGCTGGCTGGAGTCAGTGTGGAGGCCCTGACTAGGGGCAGCAGCACTGACGCTCTAGCCCACCCTTTTTTGTCACACATTTCCATCCCTTGTGAAAGGCCAGCCCCTTCCAGCCTTGCTCCAACAGAGGGAGAGCCTGTCCCAGTACCTGAACTTTGCAGTGACTCCCATGATCCTCCCAGGAAGCCTGAGGGTATAAAGATGAGACCCAGAGAGCAGGCAATAGGGCAGAAGTTGTAATTAGATTATTAGAATCTTAGATTTTTGGCCCCAGAAGTGAGTGTAGAGATGGTCTGGCCACTGTGTGGCAAGTGCAAAAGCTGTAGCCAGGCTGACAGCTTGTGGCCACACAGGCAGAGAAAGACAGAAGGTGGCCTCCAAGGCTCATGTGCTTTGCCTTCTGACTCATGACTGGAGAACCTGAGTGGGCATGGTGGTCATGTGGCCAGGGGTCCAGGGCAGGCCACAGCATCATCTCTGGATAATTGGGCAAGCCAAAAAGGGTCTGCTTCTCAGGCTTAGTTCAGACCAGGGGTTTTGTGGTCAGACTGGGTGTCTTTGTCACCTGAGGAAAATCAGGTCCAGCCCTATACAGGGTGTGAAGTCAAGCTTCAGGAGAGACCCCAAGTGATGCCCTATCTTCTCTGAGTTGGTTTCTTCCTCTGGAAATTGGGAATGTTGATTCTTCCTTCCTCCCATGGGTGCCTAGAGATGAGTTCCCTGGGGATACCTGTTCGTGGCTGGCCCTAACTGTGGCATGCTGGGAGGGCTGGGAAAGTAAGAGCTGGCAGAGTCTGAGTGACTGCTGGGAGGTGTGGGGTAACTGGCACCTGCCACCTGGGGCTTCCCATTGTCCTTCCTGGGAGCACAGACTGGGGAAGCCCATCTTTTCCTTTGATTTTTGTCTTACCCCTGATGAGGAGCTGAGGCCCTTCCTGGTAGGAGGCTGAATCCTGTCCTCTCCCTCTCCCCTTCCAGGAGGAATCAGAGAAGCAACTCCGCCTGGCCGAGGCCCAGACCAAGGAGGCCCTTCTGGCGCTGCTCCCGGAGCTCTCTGTCTCAGAACACCAGGTAGTGGGGAGGGTGGCTCCCAGGGATTGTACTCCCCCAGGAGCATTCCCCACCCTCACCGTCCATGTTTCCTTGTAGAATTATGCTGAGTGGCTGCAGGAACTCAAAGAAAAGGGCTCCCAGCTACTGAAGAAGCCATCAGCTACCACAGAGCCCTCCTCGGTAAGCAAGGCTGCCAAGCAGGTGCCCTTGGCAGGGGCTGCCACTGTCACCCAAGCTCTCCTATCCCTAGGAAGAAAGTGCCCAGAGTCATTTCAGTGGGTAGCTGTGTTGGATTCACTAGACACTTGTTCTCCCTCTGCCCTCAGGACCTGGCCTCCAAGCTGAAGGAGGCTGAGGAGACCCAGAACACCCTGCAGGCTGAGTGCGACCAGTACCGCACCATCCTGGCAGAAACGGTGAGCAGCCAGGGCAGGGGCTCTGGGAACTCTGTGCTGGGTGATAAGAGGGTGCTGCTAGGAGGAGAGCTTTGGGGCCTAGAGTGCAGGGGTTGGCATAGTATCTCCAGAAATCCTCTGGCTCTGTGTGACCTGGGCAGACCTCTGCCCTCCAGACCTCATTTCTTAGACTGGATGGTAATGGCATGGATAAGTCTCTTAGGTCTTCATTATTTCTAAGCTGAGGAGAGGGCTGAGTTGAGGGTTTGAGGCTGGTCTCCGGCATGGAGAAGGGACTTGGTTATAACAACAAGGAATGATTGGGCAGGCAGTTGTGGGAAAAGGCAAGGTAAGCTTTGGCCTGACTGGGTTGAACCCCTCCCTGACTCCAGGAGCAGTGCTGGGTCCAGCCCTTCCCAGTTCTGAGCAGCTCTGTCTTGTGTTCTTTGTTCTGGGCCACCAATGGGATCAGTACCTGTGGCAGAGCCCAAGAGCAACAACAGTTCTAAGAGCCTCATTTGGATCACAGACCTCATTTCCTGGCATGGTCCTACAAGCCAGCACACTGGATAGAAAGCTCACTCCTGGGACAGTGGCCACCTTCCCTTCCCACACAACACTGAGTCTTAAGCAGAGGAAGTACCGGCCATCATTGCAGAGGACCTGGGGACAGGAGTGCGTTTGAGTGTAGGACAGGGCTGAGGAGGGAGACAGCCCTGTCTCACCGCTCTACTCCTTCCTGCCGCAGGAGGGCATGCTCAGAGACCTGCAGAAGAGTGTCGAGGAGGAGGAGCAGGTGTGGAAGGCCAAAGTGGGAGTTGCGGAGGAGGAGCTCCAGAAGGTATCTTGGCATGTGCATCTCCCCAGGGCCTGGTGGCATGGACATTGCTGCTGGGCTCAGGGAAGCCAAGTGTACTCTACTGAAGACACATGGCTGGGTTGAAATTCCAGAGCCCACAAGAGAAGTTAACAGGATCTGTCACTTAGGAGATGCATATCGCTGTTGGCATTTCTGGGGGACACCCTGCGAAGCGGAACTGTAGAATGACAGTGGAGCTCCTCAGTCTCTAGGAGATTGTGCTCCTGTTCTCATGCTGGACTCTATCCCCACTCCCAGGAGAGACTGCTACAGGCCACCAGAGCTTCAGCTTGGCTTGGAGATGGTGGCACTACTCGTCCTGGGAAACATCCCCAGACACCTATGTTTCACAGGGCATTTCTTTTGCTTTGTAGTCACGGGTCACAGTGAAACATCTCGAAGATACCATAGAGAAGCTAAAAGGAGAACTTGAAAGCTCAGATCAGGTATGTGGTGCTTCTGTTCTGAGAGTTGGTTTCTCTTGTCCTATGAGTCTCTTTGAAAGTGACATTGCAGAGGCCATTTGAGTTATTCTTCTCTCAAGGATCACTGGCTTCTCACCTAAGTGATCCTATCCTGTTTTGCTTTAATGAGAGACCTTCATAATAACCTCAGAGGCCTAAGACAGCTACAGATCTGTGCATAGTTCTCCAGCCCTGACCAATGGTGGCTTTGGTCTTGGCCTTCACAATCAAAGGGTGTGCTCAAGGGAGCCCTGGTGTTCCTTTAAGCACCTAAGCAAGCCCTGGCCTTGGAGAAAGTGCCCCTGGTACCTACTTTTGCAAGTGTATCTAAGAATTGCCCTCTCCCCTGCTCCTTAGGTCAAAAACATGTCAGGACCCAGGAGTACTGGAGTTGAGGTACTCTTTTCAGCAAGGAGTTCTCTTGCTAGGGCTTGGTTTCTTATTAGCCTCGATTTATTTGGTAAACTGATGGGCCTCAGGGCCTTATCAGAGCCAGCCAGACTATACGTCCATCACCCCACTCTCTGTGGCTAGTGCCCCCTGCTGGCCAACTAGAGGCTCTGATGTATGTGCATGTCCATCCAGGTGAGGGAGCACACCTCACATCTGGAGGCAGAGCTAGAGAAGCACATGGCAGCTGCCAGCGCTGAGTGCCAGAACTACGCCAAGGAGGTGGCAGGGGTGAGTGCACACTCCACGGACTTGTATGCCCTGCCTAGCCAAGTCTGGGTCCTCCCTAGTGGCTCTTCCTCAGCCCTTAGGGAGCTGTTCTTATCATCGTGAGCCTTGAAGTCTGTGTCATTTGGTTTTGTCTTAAATCCTGCTTATGCCTCATCAAAGGGTCAGATCTGAGGTGTCTGGGGGTAGGTTGTGAAAAGGCAGCCCCACTCTGGGGAGCAGGGGCAGAACAGGGAACAGATCTGGCTGGGCACTGCAACAGGGGGCGCATTTGACATTCCAGATCATCCCCTGAGCATGAGAATTCTCTGCCTGGCTTACTGATTGATGTCATTTCCAATAGGGAGTGGGTTTAAATCTGATAACTGTTTTCTGACTGTTCAGAAGAGGAAAGCAAAAAATTGGCAACCTGAGTCCTGGTTTAATCTCACCCTTGGGGCCTTGTTTTTTTTTGAACAAGAAATTAGGGCAGATGTCTAAGAAGGCCTGAGATAGGTGTGCAGTGAACACCATCCTTCCTAAGTCTTCAAAAAGGAAATTGTAGCTATGGGAAGCCTGGCCCTGCTCTGTGATGATCACTAGTGTTTTGGGTAAATAGATGTTAGGTTTTTGTTTTGCTCCTAATTCACTGGAATTGATTTTCTCTTCTCTCCTTTTCCCTATCACCTGGCTGTTTGTTCCTCAAGTTGAGGCAACTTTTATTAGAGTCTCAGTCTCAGCTGGATACAGCCAAGAGTGAAGCCCAGAAACAGAGTGACGAGCTCGCCCTGGTAGGTGAACGTGGTATCCCGCACGGGGACTGTGACGTGGGGGGCTCGTGTGTGTGAGATGAATCTGCCAGTCAAGTTTTGTTGTTCACTCAAAGATTTCTGCAGCTTAGCAGAGGGGGAAAGTGTTCATCCATTAGCCACATGGGGCAGGAAGGCTCTTTGAGGCCCTCTTGGAACATTTGCCTAAAATTCTGAGCTGGGCCTGTGACCGCTGGGACCAGGATGCACACCCCATTTCCCTCCCACTGGTAGCCTGGTCTCTTACTCAAGGAAGTGGGGGTTCTGGGAGTCTGTTCACCTTGTAAGCCCATTTCAGCACTTACGAGCATCGAGGATGTAGTGACCCCTTGCAGATCCCTCCTGGCCTGGTTACCCACCGCACTGTGGCTCTTAGCAAGGCCTTGCCCTCTTGGGGTTTCCTCACCTCAGCAATGGCTCAGACCCATTCAGTCAAATCCACAGGTGTGTGGGGATGGCCTGGTCCCCACCTGGCCTAGTTCCAGGTTCTGGGGGCAGAGCTCAAGCCCCATTCAGATGTGAGGAGCTGCGCTGTGCAGGTGACCTGAGTCCTGCTTGGCTTGCCCAGTTTTCAGCTACGGTGTCTAATCCCATGTCCCAGCTGCTTGACTGGTTCAGCTCTTGCCTCCATAAAGAGGTCACACCCTATCTAGTACCTGCTTGAGGCAGCCTTTACAACCACAGTCCATCTGTCAGATCTGTACAGGCTTTCTTAAAAGTCTTAAAGTAGTCATCAGCATTTAGAGATTGAGATATTTGGGGCTAAAATGTGCAGCACTGACAAGAAAGAAGTTCTGGTGTGCCAGGCTAGCACCCCCCACAGCCTCCACCAAGCCCAGCAGGTGCTCCCAGCTCCCTGGGTCCCCATCTTGAGCTCATCCAGGATCACTACACCAGAGGGGGGTATCACCCAGCTCAAGTCTCCTCCTGAGTTTAAGGCCAGTCATCTTGGCCATTGGCTAAGCCAGGTCAATGTTACAGGCCTAGGGTATACAGCCCATACAAGGGGTATGTGCAGAATCCCACCCCTAGGCTTTCTTATCATCTTTTCAACTATAGTTTGGCTTTTGCTTTTGCAGGCTGTTGGGCTAGAGATTGTTGAGGTTGAGGCCCTTGGAGCAGGGCCTCTTGAATAGAGCCTGAGACCACTTATGTCCCCTAGAGAGCTCATGACCACGGTCCCCAGCCAGGCCTCCTGACTAGAACTTTTACCCATGTTCCCTGAGTGATGCTGCCACCCTTCAAATCAGAAGTTCAATGGTCTGGGAACCTTGGGGGCCAGTGGATGTGCCACTTGCCCTCAGCCATAGAGCTGAGGATGGGGTAACTTATTAGGCAAGGTGTCATCTTATAATCTTCCCTGGACCCCAGAAAGGGCTCCAAGCCATGGTTCTTGAAGAAACCAAGGGTATAGGCAGAATTGTTGGCAGCCTCTCTCTCCCTTTTGGACTCACTGCCTGTGTGGTCTGTGTCTATCAGGGACCCATCTCACTCCTAAGGAGGATTGCCCACCAGTTTGTTTTGAAGCTCAGCACATGGGTCTCATTGGCCCAGAGGCTTCTTGACCTCCAGGCCTGTTTGGCTCAAACTGGGTGCTGTGGCCCTGCCCAGCTAATCTGCGTAGCGGTAGGGACTCAAACATCGGTCACAGATAGCAAACCAGTAGGGGCCTTGGCTATTAAGAGCAGCTGCGGTCCTCTCTAGGGGAGTGTGTGTGTGTGTGTGTGTGTGTGTGTGTGTGTAAGGTGTATGTGTGATTGGCTGTGCACAAACCCTCCCCTCCCTGTTTCAGGTCAGGCAGCAGTTGAGTGAGATGAAGAGCCACGTAGAGGATGGTGACGTAGCTGGGTCCCCAGCTGTCCCCACAGGCGTCTCCCCAGCTGAGCAGGACCCTGTGAAGGTTAGGGTGGTGAGCTGGTCCTCACATGTGTCACTAACAGCCCCAAGTACAGTGCAGGGTGGGCAGCCTTCATGTTGATTGACATATTGGCTGCTCCCAGCCCTGACCAGCACCCTCCCCATCCCTCTTTACCTGGATTAGGTGCACCCAGGACCCAAAAGATGCAGAGCAGAGGGAAGGTGACCAGGCAGAGAGGCGGGCGGGGGTGGGAGTGGTCTGAGACTGGGGAGTGCACCGTGCACCTACCAGGCTGAGAGAGCAGCCTTGGGTTGGTTCTGCAGCCACTGTAGGGGACTTGTCTCCTGTTGTGGCTCTTGCTGGGATATTACTAGCAAAATATCTGCTCTCCAGAGGGGTGGTTATTATTTATGTGGTCCTGGGGATGGAACCCAGGGACTCAAAAATACTGGGTGAGCTCTCTGCCACTGAGCTGCACTTCTAGCCCTCTTCAGAGTTTTGACCAAAGGAGCTACCACTTAAGAGTTCTTGCCAAGAGGCAGGGGCCTGTCACTAGGGTAGCCACTGTGGGTTTGGGCCTTATCTCATGGCTCTGAGGCATCTTTCTTGTCCTATGGGTCCTGTTAAAGGTTCCTGAGATTACAGAGGTTCCCTCAGAATCCTTTTAACTCACCAGCTTCTGGACTGCAACTGAGGTTCCATCTCCCCACAGGAGCATCAGGGATGGCTCATTGGAGCAGGGCAAGGCTGGGGGAACCCTAGAAGCAACTAAAAGGCAGAACCTATAGTCTCAGTCTGCCCCAGAGCCCTGGGCCCCAAAAGGGTCCTTCACCAGGTTCCCAAGTTATGTTTGTGATATCTCCACACAGCTGAGAATGCAGCTGGAGCGGACAGAAGCCACCCTGGAGGACGAGCAGACAAAGAGGCAGCAGCTCACGGCTGAGTTTGAGGAGGTCAGGCCTGCTTGGTGGCTCTCAGCCCCTATCAGCTTTCAGACTCTTATAGTCTCTGGGGAGCAAGCAGGTCATGCTGGCCCTCCCCTGCTTTGCCCACCAGGTGTCTGGGCTGGGCCATCAGCATGCTGGGGGTTGGGAGGACAATGGGATCCTGGCAGGTGGGCGTGGATGCTGAAGTCGTCTTGAGACCTCATGGCTAGTCTTGGAACCTCAAGGCTAGTCTGTGTCTTCAGGCTTGAGCTGTTGCACCATCAGGCTTGGGATGCCCCTGGTCCCCAGGCAGATTTGGTCATGCTTGACTGCTGAGATGTTGGTAAGGCTGCTCACCCAGGCCCACTCTGCTCTCTGATAAGGCTCAGACCACAGCGTGTCGGTTACAAGAAGAGCTGGAGAAGCTCCGTGCTGCTGGTACCCTGGAGTCTTCAGGAACTGAGGAGGCTGTACAGCTGAAGGTAGAGGGTGGGGCTGGGGCCTGTGGCTTTGACCAGTCTTGACCTTGGAGAGGGGCCAGGAATGGGAGAACAGACCCCAGCCTAGGAACTGGCTTCCCTCGTCACACATGGTGGGAGGGAGCCACGTCACATGGCAGCTACTAGTCAGTGTAGCTATTTAATGTAATTTATATAAAACTTGGAAGTCATGTTTTAGGTACTGGTAGGTATACATATCTGGTGGCTGGCACATTAGACAATGCAGAGTAGCCCACACCTGTTGTCCTAGGCCAGGAGGTAAGTGGGGCTGGTGGGAGGCACAGTCAACATAGACCATTTCCTGCCAACCAGCACTGTCTGTTGTTGAGTGGCCCGTAGACAGCTTCCTTGTGCTCCTGGAAAGCTCCAGTCCTGGGTATTTGGGCCCTGTGGGTGTATATAGCTCAGGGTCTTACCGCTGATATCATGTGAGGACTGATCCCCTCCAACCCTGAAACCCACAGGAGAGACTAGAAAAAGAGAAGAAGTTAACAAGTGATCTGGGACATGCTGCAACCAAACTACAGGAGCTTTTGAAGACAACCCAGGAGCAGCTGGCAAAGGAGAAGGACACAGTGAAGAAGTTGCAAGAACGGCTGGAAAAAACAGTGAGTGCTTCATCCATGTGGGGCCACAGGGCTGGCTTCCAGCCCCTGTGGCTTGGCCTGTTCTGGAGGTGGGCCTTGACCCCCAGGAGGGTGGATGGGAGTGAGCTTTTGGGAAGAATTGGGTATGATGCTGGAGCCCCAGGGAAGTGGGACAAGCAGGAAGTGGGAGAAACAGAACTAGGTGTTGGGGACAGATACTTGTAACACGGACATTAGCCCACAGGGCCCAGAGCCCAGGAAGCATGGTTCTCACTGCAGCCTGCTTGGGCCCCGTCCCAGTCCCCCTGCCTCTGTCCTGGCCCCTACCTGCAGGGTTTTTCACCTGACTCAAAGCCCTCACACTCCTGCATCCTGCATTCTCACTACCACCAACTCCTAGGCAGCCAGCCCCAGGAAGTCAGCTCTGGGTCTCCAGACAAGTGGCTTGGGGCTGTCAGCCCAGGGAGGGGACTGCAGGTCCTGGCATGGCATGAGAGGTTATGCCTTGGCTCCTTGCCCAGCTTTTCTCTCACATGGCTGCCTTTGTTTGCAGGAGGACGGCAGCAGTTCAAAGGAGGGCACCTCCGTCTGAGTCTCTGCAAAAAGAAGTTACTGTTCAACTTTACCAAAATGCCTTACACATTCCTTATAAATAAATAAACCAACAACACAGCGTTATCCAGGCCCAACTTCCAGTAGCTCCGAGAGAAGCCATCAGAGACAAGAGTCTCTTAGAACCACAGAAATAAATCTTCCAGACCCCCAGTCTGTACAAGAACATTTGTCACATTTGATAAACACTATTCCCTGGAGCAGTCCTGGACCACCTTGAGCCGACGCCAAAGCCCTTGTTGACTCTGACAGACCGGGTTGTGCCGGGAGGCCAGGATGCTTAGGGATCTATGTCAATCAGTGCAATTGTCATGTCTTTTTTCAGTGGGGTTGGGGTTGGGAAGTGGCCGGACCAGGTGGTGAGTTCTCAGAGTCTGGGGAGACTGGAGGGCCTCAGCCCAGCCCAGTGAGGCAACAGCTCCTCACCCCTGGAAGTTGCCAAGCAGAACTGATGTGTGACCACCTGGATGTTAATGCCATTAAAACCAATGTGTTGCCCGGCGCTGCAGTGTCGTCTGGTCTTCTGGGGTTCCCCCATCTTACTTTGGGCCCAAGATGGGCTGTCTTTGGGACAAAGTGTAAGCATAGTCTTGGTTTCTCTGCAAGCAGGGGACCAGCAGCTATGTAAAATGGGGATAAAACCTTTTTTGGGACCCCAGTATTTTCCATCGCCTCCTAGGCTTCAGTGGTTGGTGGGCAGATGAGGAAACAATGCCTGACACCCAGTGGTCAGATGGCCTGACTGCTATACCCCACCCTTGAGAATCTGAGGTTTCTGTGAGCAGGGGTGTGGGTGGCCTACTGTGGTATGAAGTAAGCTCTGTGAATGAACAAGGGTCTCCATGTGCGCAGGGCCTTGGATGAAGGTCCATACCTTGGGAGGGGTTCAGGGCTGGAGCAACCCCTCCCACCTGTCCTGTGGCAGAAGCCAGCTTAGACTTCTGCCAACTCTCATTCCCAGAGTTCTTGGCCCATAACAGAATGGTCCAGGGGAACTTTGGCCTAAGAGGTGTGGAGCTTCTTAACTGAGAAATAAATCTGGAGTTTATACAAAATGTTAGAGATCCTGAATCACAGCAAGGCCTGAACCAAGCCAGGATGGGAAGGTAGGTCTGAGCATGTCCAGTGTCCAATATCAGCCAGTCTTGTTAAGGGGCTGCCTTGGCCAAGCGCTATTCCACATTCATCTCCCTGCCCTGCCGAGTCTCCAAATCCTTTGGAGAGTCTAATTGGCAAAACTTGGCTGGGGGATGTTGGGCACTTAAGATGGCAGATCCTACAAGACGGGGTTGTTTTCACACTACTGGGATCTGTATCTCAGCCCCCTTGAGTGGTGGATATGATTCCAGTGGCTGTCCCAGGAACCTAGGGAGGTGTAATGCTTGTAGATGTGTCCTTTTGCCTTTTTATTCAGCACCCCCCCACCCCATCCCAGCACCTGTGTGTGAACCACTTGGATGTTAATGGCTAAATTGGAGACAAGGTGCTGGAAAATCCCGGGCGGTCTCCCTGGAGTTTGCAAGAGGGTTCCCTCGGGACAGTGGGTGCAGAGGGGAAAGTGAGGCTGAAAAGTCATTAAGACCAAGGGGTTTGGACTAGACAGGGCAGTAGAAGCCACTAAGGATTTTTAAGCAGGTGTAGGGGGATACTCCTGTTCTAGGATTCTATGGAGGAAGGTGATGTGGAGGGGCACCCCACAGGTCTTGAAATACTGACCAGGAGAACGAGGAAGAAAATGATAAGAACACCTGATGCCCACTCATACCCAACTCACAGCACCTGGTCTTCCATGAGGTGAACCAGAGCCCATGGAAATGATGGTACTCACCTGGAAAGCTGCAGGGCTGGTTCCAAACCACTTCTTACACCCTCCAGTGCACCGGCACTCTGAGTGGGCCACAGGTGTTTTCTAAGGATGCAAAACCCCACGAATAGCTGTGGCCCTATACATCTGTGGTGCCCCAAATTGCATCTGCATCTGCTGTGTGCACTATGCATCTGAAGCAAGGCTCAGAGCCAGAGGAAAGTCTCTGGGTGAGGGAGAGCAGGGACACTAGCAAGATGTTGGTGATGGACAGGAAGGGTGGAGACTGCTTGAGCAGCCACCTGACCAATATCCTCCACAAATGCCTCATCATTGTGCTTTCCTCAGGTTTGGGTCTATGCTCAGAGACCAAAAGAAATGCATTGTTTTTCTTTCCCCTTTCAAACCCATCCAATCCACTGAACAAGATCTAACCTTTGAATTATAGTTAGCATTAAGCTGGAATTTTCCAAAGGAGTAAAGGGAAGCAGATCTGAATTTCTATCCTAGTTTTGCCAGGCAGAAGTCTAACCCCACATAGGTGGCCTTATGTCACTGGTTTGGGGCTCTGGTGAGTGGGTGTGGTACAGACCAGACTTGTGCCCTATACCAGGACTCCCACTCAACTGCCATTATGAACCTGGGAGCCTGCATTTCCAATAAACTCCTCTCCACCCCATTATACTGACTGCACAAATGAAGAGCTTCCACACTGGGTAGATGCCTTCAAAGGCACTGGAATGGGAGGGCTACTCATTTTTAGTAGAGGAAAGAGGAGAACTCAGGGAAAAATTGCTGGGGTTATCAAGCCACCTTGGGTTCAAAGAGGCAATGGCTTCTGGTCATGGCCCTACTCCCTTGTCAGACACTGTGTCCACCTGTGGGAAAGGAGGCAAGACAAAGGGAGTGCATAGTGTGGGTCCAGGGGGCTGGCCTGGGGAGTTCAGGAAAGTGCCACTTACAGGGACCTTCCTACTGCAGCTCAAACTCAGGGGACCATTATCTGTCCTCCTCACCTACCCCAGTAGTGGCATTCCGAAGGCCAGCAGAGGGAGCCCAAGTGTGTCTTGCCTTAGCTGGGCCAGGTCACCCAGCTATTCACGGGCAAGGTTCCACCACCATGCAGAAGGCAGAAGAAAACTGCTCAGGAGGACACCTGAGGCAGCAGTCCCTGGCAGACTGCTTGCAAAACAGTGTCACGACTGCCAACATGCTCCCTGTGTTCTTCCAGTATTAGCATGGTACAGATCCTATGGGGGCCCAGCTCACGGGGCTGGCCATTTGAAGATCCCTGTCCTGCTAAACTAGAAACGTAGGAGTTTTCAGGCAGCAATGGAGAACTAGCTTTTGTAGTCCTTTGGGATGAAGCTGTTAACTGTGAAAGCAGGAATCTAACAGAGGAAGCACGGCTCTCCCTGGGCTGGTTCTTAGGACCATGGCCTGGACTTATGCTGCTGCTACCCTTTCTTCCAGTACCAGAGCTGGGAGGGTGCGGAATAAAAACATCCAGCCGAAATCCTTCCCTTCAGAGTGCAGACATCCCAGAGTCACATGGTTCATAAACTGTTCCACCAGACCTGGAAACCCCATCACACAGACCACTGCTCTTTGATGATGTTAATCTGGTCATCTTCCAAATGGCGCTCACTGAAACGCAAAGGCACCAGGATGCTTGGCCTGTAAGGCAGCACCTAACGCACCTGGAGGAGGAAGCGGTATGGTGAAGACAGGGAGAGTATGGACATCAGCAAGGCATTGGTGATGGACTGGAGGGGCAAAGACAGCCTTAGAAGCCACTTGACCAGCACCCTCCAAATGCCTCCTCATTGAGCTTCCTTCAGGTTTGTATCTACACTGAGACCAAAAGAAATGATTGTTTTTTTTTTTTTTTCCCTCTTTTGAATCTCATCCAATGCATAAACAAGATCTAACCTTTGAATTCCAGTGAGCATCAAACTGAAATTTTCATTAGTGGGAATGAGGAGATCCGAGTTTGTCCCAGTTCTGCCACTTGAGTTGAGAGATGTAATTAGGCAAGTTACCTCTGGGCTGGCTACTGAAGGACTGGCCAGAGGCCCTGAAAGTCCCTTCTCAGATTCCCTTCTGGGAGAGCCCTGGCCAGCCAAATGTAGTCACTCAGCTTGAGGTACTCCATGTAGTACAACTTACGTCCCCTCTCCTAGTCTAGAGCCTGTTACTGTATTTCAGAAGTGCCCCAAATCATAAGAAACTGGTGTGTCTTTGGGCAAATCCAGTCTCCCATGTTCCAAAGAGCAACAAGCCTGTCAAGAAACAGAAACTGTCCACCCTCAACAGTAGTTCTACAAAAAGGAGGCCACTAGACTAAACCTGATTCTATTACCCAAGTCACTGGGCTTTTTCTTAGAGTACTCTTCTCTGAAATAACAAACATCACAGCTAAGGAAGGTCTGGCTGGATTCTGTGGCACTGACTTTACCTGCTCTTTCTCAGGGCCTAAGAGTAACTACAAAAGGAAACCTAAGTCTTCCACAATCATTTTTGTAATGTGTTGACCCCTGTGAAGATACAAGTGTATTTTCTGGAAAAGAAATACACTTGCAGCTTTGTTTTTGACTATTGTCAGCTGAAGTTTAAACCCTGACTTTACAAAGAAGCACCTGTCCCAACCTCAGACTTTTCACAGGTGCAGTGGCACACAACTATAATCAATCCCAGCAGCTCAGGAGGCCGAGGCAAGGGGATTGTGAGTTCAAAGCCAGCATCAGCAAAAGCAAAGTGCTAACCATCTCAATGAGATCCTGACTCTAAATAAAATACAAAATAGGGCTGGGGATGTGGCTCAGTGATTAAGTACCCCTGAATTCAATCCCTGATAACCATCCCTGCCCCCAAGTCTTCTGAAACATAACAGGATCTAGAGACATAAGTAACTGTTAACATCTTCCCCATTTCTGGAATAAGAGTGGAATGCTCACAGACATTTATACTACAGATGTGCATACTGCTTGCAATCGTTCCCAGGCATGTATGTCTCTTTGTCTCTTTCATATGCCCCCACACCCATGTGCCTGTACGGTCGCAACAAGAATAAGTGATCAAAGCAGAGCCTGGATCACATTCCTGGCTCTACCCACAGAACTGATTCTGGACTGGGGCAGCCTTAGGCTGGCCGCACTTCTTTGGGGGACTGTGACTAATGCTTCGAAGTAGAGAAAACCAGAAATTCAGGATGAAAGAATGACAAGCAGCCAGCACTATTTTCTCGATTCTTTGGAAAGAGATATTTGAATGAAAGCACAATAACCTTTTTTTTGCCTCCCCAAAGCCTAGCCTTTGGATGACGATTTGGAATTAGAAAAAGGTTCCCAATTTTTACATCAACTTTCTCATTCAATCTGAGGAGGAAGGTGCTATGATTTTAACTGTCAGAAATAAAAACCTTGATGACTTATCGCATATGGAAAAAAATCCTTCATCCCAATTCACACAAGAATAATTACACAAGAAGTAAGTTAAAAATGCTTCCTTTATTACATAAGCCAGTAACTGCTACTTCTAAGTTCAACTGTGCATCTCTACATTTTTCAAAGTGTTATGCCTGTGATATTAATGACAATCACTTCCAAGTGTCATTGGGTGGTGGCTCCCTAAGAGTTTCATCCATGGTACCTGCACCCCACTCCACACAGTCAACAAACTGCTCTAGGAAATTTGGT